GATACTTTACAAAATCATTTCGTGGGATATTTGTAAAATGCGGCTTATTACGAATGCTAGATGTGACCAGTCTGAGATTTTGCAGCTGGGTTCTGTTCCAGCATGCTGTCTGCCAACTGTAAGCCGGTCCCCTCGGGGCTTGGCTCCATCTACTTAACTGCCAGCTCTGGTGGACAGCTGAAAGCGACCACAGGAGCTCAGAGGCGCTCCGATTTGCCAGCAGATGTGAAAAATTCATGATCTCATCTACATAAGTCAATCTATTCTCAACGCGTTCTGAGGCACGTTCTAAAAATACACACTCTGTGCCTTTTTTCTCTAGGTGCTAAAAAGAGAGAAACCCGTCTGAGAAAAGATGGTTTTTAATCGATAAAATCACTCACAATGGCTTTTTTTCCCTTCATGTCTGGTAGTAATGCTTATTTGTGTGAGGGCAATGCGTGTTATTCTTATTTTCATTTTACTGATTATGCATTTCCACCCCGACAAACAAGTCAGTAACTCCCAACTCAGAAGACAATAGAAGTCCACAGCGGTACCATTAGCATGGTGGAGCCATTACGGTATGTATGTGCTCACGTTTGTGTGCATCCTAGCTCATGTTTGTAATTGTAATCTCATTGCCGATAAGGTTTGCTTTTTTTGTTGTTTTAAAACTGAATTTTTTTTCCACAGCTTCAACTAAGTGCTTCTAATTGGGGTGTTCTCAGTACTGTCTGACCTTCTCTCCCCAACAGCTCTCCTCCCTCTCCCTCTCATCCGTTCTATTAGTAGGTCAAACACAATCGCAAAGAATGAACAGTGTCTTCATTCACAGAAGATGGCAAAGATAAGCCTCCCTCCCAAACTAAAGAATTTAATAAAAAAACAGCATGATGTTCTTTAAGTCCGATGAGTTAGATTCCACTGAAGCCACAATATTACCAATATTATGACGGTGAGTGTAATCCAGAATATTTATCTTAAATGTCAGCTGTGGGATGTACAACTTACCTACCTATGACACTTTAAATACGAAGGATTCAGTGGTGCTCTTGAGTCAACACTAACATCATTTCAGCTCTTTCCTAAAATACTACTAACAATTCATTACTTTGCCACTTTTTGCAGGAATCTCAGGCCATTTTATTTCATTACTTTTTTTCATAGTCACTAAATCTCAACGATAAATTAGACGTTAATGTTTCATCAGTCTGTAAAGTAATTCTGCTTGTCCCCTACGTGGAAGCTTCTGCATCTGGTTTGTTTCCATGCGTAGTTTTTTTCCATTCATTTTTCAGCACTCTTTAGTTGCTATCTATTATTTTGATAAAATATGTAGAGCAAATTTTCATCCTATTTAACAGGACATATTCGTATAAGATGTTATTAGTTTGTGATTTATTTATTTATTTGTGTTATGAACTAATTTCTACTGTTTTATTGGTAATGGTTCATCATCATCACCCAGGACCTCTAGTGGGAGCTGAACATCAGCTCCATCACCAAGAAGGCTCAGCAGAGGTTGTTCTTCCTGAGGCAGCTGAAGAAATTCAAAGACGATGATGGTGCACTTCTATACGGCCATCATCAAGTCCATCCTCTGCTCTTCCATCACCGTCTGGTACGCTGCAGCCACAGCCAAGGACAAGGGCAGGCTGCAGCGTGTCATCCGCTCTGCAGAGAGTCCCTGCAGGACTTGTTTGCTTCTAGGACCCTGAAGCGAGCTAAAAAGATCGTAGCCGACCCCTCTCAGCCCGGACAAAACCTGTTTGTGCCCCTTCCATCTGGCAGGAGGCTGAGGTCCATCAGGACTAAGACCTCCCGCCACACAAACAGTTTCTTCCCGTCGGCAGTCGGGCTCATCAACAGAGCCCGGTCCCCCACTGACTGACTCTGACATTCCACCGGTCAATTTCTTTCATACTGCACATTTCACTTTCACTTGTTACTTTTCACTCGTCATTTTGTCAATTCCTGTTCGCTGGTGCACTTTATTTTTTAATTTTAAAATATCTTTCACTTTAACTTTTATTCTTTTATTTTAAACTAACCCATAGCCTTATACTACTAACCCATAGCGTTAAATTTTATTTTATTCCTTGTGCACTGTCGTCCATTGTCGTACTGTCTGCTGTTACACACCAACCGCCAAGTCAAATTCCTTGTATGTCTGACATATATATATAGGCAATAAATGTTTCCTGATTCCTGCTTCCTGATTACTGGTTAGTAACAAGACAATTATTCTACCGTATGGCATGGCAACCGGTGGAAAAAAAAGATTCAACCGTCATCAAGTAACAATTGGCCATGTGAGTTCAGCCGAGCAACAGCTGTCCTCTGTCTTTGCCGTTGCAGCTACCCCTGACCTGTGTGGCCGCTGTCTTGTTAACAGTGACAACAACGGTGATGTGTTTTTTGAAGGTCGACTCTATTTGGGTCCTCGTGTGGACTTTTTAAATAGAAACGCCCACCCTGCCATGATTGATAAGATTATGATTAATGTAAGCGGTAGTACTAGCTGAGTCAACATTTGCTCTGCCTAGTTTGGGAATAACTGAAAGAGGTTGGTTTGGATTTTGTGAGCTGTGTTGTTTTACATCCTCCCGTGTTCTGTGAAGTGAAATTGTTTGTTTTTTTAGACGGAGTTGTGGGGCTTTGAAGAGAATATTTGAACAGATGTAGTTCCACATCAGCGAGGGCGGTTGGACTATGATGTAAAGTAACCATGGACAACACACTAAACCACCACCTTGAAGGAGAAGTCAAGTGCAGCCGACATTCAGAATATTTCCCCCTCTGTATCTTGACCTTTTGCGGTGGGGAACTGTATCCGATATGTCAGTCTCGGCACAGCCACAAGACACATTGTAGAACAGGTGTTGAATGGTCTAACCCCTTGTATTACTGTTCGATCGAAAATAACGGAGGGCGTCTGGTATCATGACGACCATCATATTAGTTGCTGTTACGGTAATACACACTGAACAAGGACATATTTGTGTGTAAATGTATCAACGTCATCACACAGAGACCTAAGTCCCTTCATGTGGTACAACGTTTTCAGAATGGCTTGAGTAAATAAAACATGTTTTGTTAAAACATACTTATTTCAAGTGAAATTTGTTTGTTTCGATGTTTTGATTTAAATAAATACATCAGTGGAACTTAAAAGATTGAGAAACAAAAAATACCCCCCCTTTACATACAGTACATCCTGATGTACTGTAGACATGACAAGACATGAAGTTTTTGCTTTCCAGCGCATTGAATCTAAGTGACTGATTAATACCATCAGCAGAAACACTCTCTCTGCATCCTCCAGTCCGTTTTATCTGGCATTGTCGTGGAAACATTTCTCAGTTCCCCTTCCTCCTCAGGCCACTTTGTACGCTCTGAAAATGGAAGTGTCGTCCCACTGTATTGGTAACAGGCGGAGTCTCAAACGGAATATTACCCAAACAACACTCAGGACTCCACATTGAATGCTGCTGCTGCTTTATTGGCTCGCCGTTTGGCTCAGCTATCTCCCGGATCTCCTCCTTGCATTGTCATACTCTCAAACCTCCGGAGAACAAGGGAAATCTTGTTGAATCGCTTCAGTTTCCTTTCTTTATGTTTTTGCTCGCTGAATCGACAAGGGTGTTTGTGAGAGGGAAAAGTAAAAGATTAAAGTGTGAGGGGTTATAACAGGTCAAAAAGCAAAGTGCCACTCAACCACGTCTCTTGCAGGGAAAAGAAAAGCCTTTTTTCATCATCTTTGAAATTTACATCTGGCCACATGGTGGCTTCATGTACCCATATGGGCATCTGCTGTTTTATCATACCATTATTCTTCTGGCTCCAGAGGGCACTTTTCTGCACGTTGTCTCATCCAACTCCTTGCCCTTGCCCCATATTTTCCCTCACTTCCCGCCCACTGGTTCCCCAGCGATCAGTCATTCACTACATATACCAGCCCAGTTTCCTTGTTCTATGGTTGCTGTTTGGAGTCTGAGTTTGCCGTTCACCAGCGATAGCCCGTTAATGAGGTGTCAAAATGGCTGCTGGGAAATGTGTTGCAGAATATGAAGAAGAAATACTGATTTTATGACTTCATGACTGATTGCCACCGTGTGTTCATGCCAATGAATCCAGATGTTAGATGGTTACAGAAACCGACTTTTCTATACATTGATATTTAAAAGCTCTCTACCTGGAGCAAAAAAAGCCGTAGCATCCCGATGATTGGATCTATGGCAGGTCTACAGAGAAATGTTGGCTTTTGGCTTTTTGACGAGGCCGTTAGTTGGAAAACCTGAAGCCAAAATAGGGAGCCGCATGAGTTCACTTGGCGCAGGGGAAAGGTACTGAAAGCCATCTTGGCCCTGAAAAAATTGTTTATTTTCCTTTATGTCACTGTAAAAAGCCCGGAGGCCCCCATTGCACACGGAAATGCTGCTTGAAGAATCTTTGACGATGTTATAATTGCGGCTGCCAGATTGCACCTCAACTGCTGATAAACTTGGACCTGAGAGACTGAAAAATGATGCAACTTGCAAAATCATGAATCTGGGAGTGACGGGGTGATTTGGGAGTAAAATTGAAGAACACGAGTGTGCAAATGTACCAATCCCTTTTCTTCTATAAAAGGTTTCCAGGTAGTTTAGCAGACAGCCGCTTGCTAAATATTCCACATTTACTAGGTGAATGTGTCAATGAATCCAAATCACTACTGTGAGTCTTTACACAAGCAACATGATACATGTGGGCGTTTTGCCTTTTGGCATTTCAACCCCCATTGTGTGCTACCTCTATGTCCCCATTGAAGGTGTGTGTGTTGTCGGAAGCTCTTCAAATGACTTTCAATCCCAGCAGTGGGTTGGGAGAGCTCACAGCACAGGTGTGAGGTTGGGGGGGAAAGGCCTGAGGGGGATATGTGCGTGTTTATACCTCTGTCTCATTCAATCTCTCTTTTGAACTCTCCCCTCACACTCACTATAAACCCATTCCGTTTGTTTATATACTGTATATATGTATTTATATATAGAGAGAGAAATATTTATTAACAACATCTGAATGGACAATTTACACAATCTTTCTTAAGCTCATAATACATCTGATGTTTACGCAGAAGAGATTTTAAAAAAATTACTAAAAAATGATGCATGCAGTGTACCCTACAAACACACACAAAATTACCATTGCTATTTGTTACAGTGTCTAATACAAAGACATAAACAGTACTAGCATTAGTCTGAATTTCAAAACAACAAACACTGGCTTTATTAAAACAAAAGCAGGGTGTGGTCTAAATGAATAGGAAGTCCTGTTACAAGTAGATTTCACAGCAAGGGGAAGATATAGTCATTATTATGTATTTATTATGATTCCAAAGCCCCCGTCAAAAGGACCCAATACATGCATAGTTTCTTTTCAAGATGAACAGCAGGGAATTTATTTTTTAGGTTTAGGTTTTTAGTTTAAGAAAAGAGTGTGTTTGGCCATAACTGACATGTCTAGCGGGGGACAAATAAGTCTGTGTGAACTATCGACTGACCTGAAAAGAAATGCCAAAAAGCACTGGCTGACAAAGCGTCACCATTGGAGTTGAAAGTGAGACCATATTTTCATCTGCACTCATCAGGGAGTATTAAATGTTTTCTCAAACTTTATTTTCTTGGATTTGTCTTTACCATCAGTTATGGTATTAGTGTATTCACTAGATGAATTTTGAAGATGTGAAAGCACATCAACATTGCTGAAAATTTCAAAACACTGACCTCTTTAAGAAGGGCATTGAAAAAATTGAATACAAAATGTTAAAAAGCGGGAAAATCTGTCATCGCTTACGTTTATCAGAGTAGCTACAGTTAAATGTAAAGGGGAAAACTAATTGGCATTAGCCATGTAAACATTTTAATAGGAATATGGTCTCAGACCAAACACCAGAATGTTTTGTGCATGCTAATGTGTCAGTGGGAAACATTAGTAGTTGCTCTTTAGCCAGAAGGCCATTTTGCAGACACCACCAACACCTGTTTTCTTCATTTTGACCACACCCTGTTAACTAAGTATGTCAATTTTAACAGGTGGTTAATAAAACCCCCTTTTTTGTTCTGTCTGTGCAATGCGTTAAACATTGACGTAGCAAACCCTAATCACTTTACATCTTTGTATATAGTGTTCTGTGAGAAAGTTGCCAAAAAGAGTTAAAACTTTGACTAAAGAAAATCCCCTTTTATCGTGTCTGCATGAAACAAATGTTGAAAGGGAGCTGAACAGGGATGCCCTGTCTGTCCTTTCTAAATCTCACCTGTCCAACTCTTACTGCATCTGTTAAAGTTAATTACTCATACAAAGCACAACCACTAGCTAGAAATTAATGATTTTTGGTCCACGAAACATGTTTCAAAAGGTCGAACTCTAAAGCAGTCAGCAACAGCTCAAAAATGTCAAATTAAAAGCACTCTAGTAGATCAGTTTGAATGTAGTTAAAGTGGTTTTTGGTTGTGAAGAGGAACAAAAGATGTGAGGATTTGCAGCGGTCTTAGCACACTTAAACTTGTCAATCTAATGGCACACCAGCTTAGTGGAATGGCTATTAGCTGATGCTTCTACTGTTGTTGCTTGTTAGTAACACTATATTATTATTAACATTTCAGTCATCTGCAGGTCCATCATCTTCATCATTCTACCACCCTGAGGCTGTGTGTATGTCTATGTGTGTGTGCGATCATGGCGATGGTGGTGTCTTCAGGGAATTGGTGGACCCTCCTTGGCTTCTAGTCCCTGTCGCTCCCTGTCCGACCCACTGGACAACAGAGAGAAAAAATGATCGGGTTAGATGCAAACAGGAGCCAAACAAATACCCTAACCCAAATCAACCAAATTGTTGGGAATTGCCAATTATTTACACATGCCATTTCTATTGGGCAAAATGCATGTTATAAAATCCTGCGCAGTTTTAGTACATTTAGCATTATCAGAAGAAAAAAAGCATGATAATATTCATGTCACTTTTTCAAACATTTACAGAGAAATTCATGTAAATTCATGCAATATCTTTTCCAAGGATAATGTTTGGCAGTAACACAGTTGTTAAATAATATAAATGTGTCATCTAAATGTAAATGTTTGTCACAAACAGACGTTCCCCGTCTCCGGAATACTAAGGTCCGAAGCTCGGGATCTCAGTCACCCCTCTGTGGCACGTTACAAAGGTTTGTGCCACTCAGGATCAGCCCACTGAGCGGGCACGGCCACTCCCACCAACGCACCTGTGGCTCGTCTCTCATCAGGAGAGGCTGGGCATTTAAGCTGCCGAAGCCTCAGAGGCTGGTGTGAAGTCTTGTGCATGTTGCCATCACATTCTGAGCGTTCGCTAGATATCCTGTTTCTGCCTACCTGTTATTGACCTCTCCTTTGTCCCAGACCTCGTTCACGCCTGCCTGACCCCCGACGGTACCTCTGCCTACCTCCGCGCTCCCGGCTCTCGACCCCCCCCGCCTGACCTCCAGCTACGACCTTGCCTGCTCCCTGACGGTGCCTCAGTCTGTTCCCTGCTTGCCTGGCTTTTCGACCCCTGCCTGTTCACCGGACACTACCACGCCTGATCCTTGTCTGTACCCCGCTAATAAAACTGCGCTCTGCGCTTGAGTTCACTCTGGTCTCTTGTGGTGCGTTACAGAAGACTTCGCCACAACCAGACCCAGCAGAGGCGCAGCGTTCCCATCGCCTGTGGAAATGTCCGACCCGGATCAGCAGGCTGGAGGAGACCTCAGTATGCCTCAGGTCATTGAACATCTCGCCGGGGTCCAGAAAGATCGAAATAGGCATCCAAAATTCATCGTCATCTAGGACCACAAGGTGGGTCAAGGGAATATTTTGACCGTGTTGGGGATGGCCTTACGCAGGGGATAATTTTGTTGGGCACGGCCTAGGGGCAAGGTGTTAATGGTTAATAGCTAGTGTGAAATTAAATCATTGACATCAATAGAATGATTAATTATCGCTGAGAATTCACAACATATAAAATAACAGGGCACCACCCTAAAAAAGGGACTAATAACCAAACAAGTCTCCTTATTGATATTCACTCATTAAGGTTTGAGTTTGTACACTGGCTATGTATCCAGCCACCATTACAGTACACATATGACAGTACACATATGCACAAAGAAATCACAGAAAACTGCTCCATAAAGTATAACAGGGTTTATTAACTTCCAACAATACTAATCTGATCAATACCATTTTAAATCAACAAAAGCTATTATTGTCAGGGATGTTGCGCGGGGGAAAAAGGCAGGACTCAAACGCAGAGTTTGAGGGAAACAAAAAGGACTTTAATAGTCGTGACAATTACGATATCCTAATATCTGAAGAACAAATAAAATCATTAATTCATGCATGTGGAGGGGGAAGTCTGTGTGTGTGTCTGTGAGATAAGGAGGGGAGAGCTCAGGAAGGGAGCTAGCTTGACGATAAACTACTGACCACATGGCTGAGGTGTTGCTAGCAGGCTGTGTTTGTACACCACGTGTGTTTCTCCCATAGTTAAAACTCTGTATGTAGGTAACTCTATGTGTGGACGGACAGGTGTATTGGTAAGTATATTAGAAATCAAAAAAAGGAAAGACTTATTTGGAACAGTGAGGCACGATAGCGGTTCATATACACACACAATCGTTAAACAATACAGTACACATCGAAACATGCTTATCTAACTTCTGCTCAGACATAGCCTTACTGTACGTTGATAGGGTATGCTGTGTTTTATCGAGTCTCGTTTAACTCTGTGTCCGCTCGGTCCTTTGTTGCGGGGATCGATTGGGGATCATGAGGACTGTTGGGTTTCTTAGTGGCACCAAAGCTGTGGGTGCTCTTGTGACACGCAAGTTGTATCCAAGGGGGTAGAATAAGTTTTCCTTCTTGGGGAGCTGCTTGGGCACTGGGAGGACTGGGGCAGGAATCGCATTGAGCAGGTGAGAGAAACAAGCTATTCATTTTGCAAATATATATTTATACCGGACCCTGAACTGATCAGTTGTGTTTCATATTAAGGTCGACGGTGGACTGCATTCGGCACGCAACTGAGGAAAGAGTCGGATGATGGCACTCTAAAATAGACATTAATATGACATTAATATTTTTGGCGCTTTTAAATAAAGTTTTTTTTCTTTTTTTCAAGGCCACAAAGGTGAAGGACCTGCATTCTGTATGTTCTTTAGTTAAACCAATGCAATGTTTCTTAAAACATGCATTCTCTCTTCTGAGCACCAGGGGGAGACTCTTCTCAACATTGGCTTTCAAACACATCAGGGCACGCTTCACAAGAGCACCCCCTGCAGTGTGCCTGAGTCAACCTCTCATTCTCGTGACAAAGTGGAGACAACATGAGCTTTCCGGCATTCCCCGTTTTCGTTGCTTTCCCATTGCTTCACAAGAGCGCCCCCTGCTTTCCCATTGCTTCACAAGAGCGCCCCCTGCAGTGTGCCTGAGTCAACCTCTCATTCTCGTGACAAAGTGGAGACAACGTGAGCTTTCCGGCATTCCCCGTTTTCGTTGCTTTCCCAATAGCATTGGACTCGAGCAAAGTCAGTGAATAATGAATGTTTGTAGACTGGGGTCGAGGGTCAGCGAGGCTCCCTCCAACACTCCAGAAAAGTCTTCACAGGCTAAAGTGGAAAGACAACCGCGTGTAATTAAAGTCTGAAGGAGAGACACAAATGTTCCATGTCAAAAAATATATATTTGTGTTTTTAATGCCTGAATACTTTCTTTGTAATAAGTGTGTGTTTGTGACGTATCCACTGGGCCTGGTTCCCTTGGGACCTCCGGCGGTATCTTTTAAAGAAAAACAATTGAGACATTAGTCTGGACCTCAGGTCCTGGCACTGTAATCCGGTGCTAATGGCCTCAGAAAAGCTGGGGCTACTAGAGAGTTTTCACAGAACTCTTGTGTGTGTGTGTGTTGTAATGCTGAACAAGTAGCCTTAGAGGCAGTGCAAGAGTTCTGTAATGGTCTTCTCCCAAACAAGTTTTATTGAAATATTCCACAACAGTTCTTTGAGCTTCACTTTGGTTGACAGTGTCAGGATCGCTGACCTCGCACCAACATTGCAACTCCTCCTGGAGACGCAGTGGGACAGCGAATAGAGTGACAGCAAATACGTCATTTACTTAATGCAGCGCTCCGTTGACACACGCTGGGGGGCAAATTCACAAAGCGGTTTGCGGTCGATTGTAGCAGGCAGATTTGTGTTCACCGAATTCTGACCTTTGTTTGAGATATATTTGTAACTTTTTCAAGTATTTGCATTAGAATATATTCATTTTTTATGACACGTTTGCAAGTTTAAGTGTACAACATGTTGCCTAATTTATATATGTGCTAATATGTGCACAGAGACACGGGAAGAATCCTGGTACCAGGATGTGACTTAACAACATAACCATGTGGACATTTTAATATGATTCTCTATGGTGGAGAAGCATATTAAAAGGCTTACTGAAACCAATTAATTGTTTTTTTCCCTTGGCTCTCACTTGCACACGCGTTCCCAAAAGTGTAAATATGTATGGAGCCAAATCTAGGTCAAAAGTTTTGTTCATTTGAAAAACAAATGTGAACCTGAAAGTTAAACTTTTGTTGTTGAACATTGAAAAATATAGCAATGTATTCAAAATATAAATAAGTGGACGAATTTTTTTCAGTTTTGACTCAGCTCTATATTTTTGTGTGTGTGTGTGTGTGTATGTTTAGTAAGTTTACAGAGGGTTATGCAGTATCTTTGTTATATAATTGTTTAATTTCTTTTTACTCACTAGACCATAAAAAAAAAACGACATGGCAATATGGCAACGACGGGCGCAGCACTCTGGACAGCGCATCAAGAGAGCAGCACCAAGGGCAAGGGCACCCACGAGCAAGAGGTCAGGTGACCAAAAGGGGAAACACCCCGCCCCCTCAGGAGACAACGAGCGGCCCAGCTGCAGCTTGTAAGGCTGATGAAGGTTGGCCACACTATAAAAGACCAACCAGCCCAAATCCCGGGAGGCAAGACGTGAGTAGAAGCTGGCTTCACGACGAGGTTTGTTTGCATGAGTGTTAAAGCCCGTTTTTTGTGATTCCTGCAGGAAGGAGACTGAAGGCCACCCGCTGAACCGCACTCTCAAAAGAGGGAGAATCTAATTTTCCCTTTTTTCGTTACTTTGTACATTACAATAAATCGTACCCTTTTCGTGTGCAACTAGACGTGTATCTGAGTCCGGTGATTCCACCCACATCCGTTGGTTGCCACAGCACACTCTTTATATATGGGTCACTCGACTGTACTCACCTTTTGTGTATTTGTTCATTAAATATTCCTAGACAAGTATGTTTAGCCTGAATATCTCTGGGGGACCAGGGATCATTCTTTTTAACATACCGTATGAAATCAAACCCATTGCATACGTGGAAGGCTCTTCCCCTGTAGGTGACTTAACTGTTTTATATTCTTCAGCAGTGATCATGTGATCAGTAATCCTTTCCTGTAAATGACCTTTTGATTTATTTTTCTCTTGCTGTGTTTTGGGCGTTATGATCCCCAGAGGATTACTCCTCAGGACTTTCAATTCCCTTTTTCCTCTGGCTCCACCATAAGGGTTTCCCTCAATGAATTGCAATCGTTTTGATCATTTCTCTTTTGTTTGTATCTATTTGGAGCCATCACCAGGTCTAAGTTTTTCATTTGGCCAATAGTTTTTTTTATGAATACATAAATAAGCTTGTGACACCCACAGTCTCAACTGTACTTTGTGTTCATTAACAAACGCTAGCATTCTGACATACAGCCGTACAGCCTAAAACAGATGCAAGAATTGCTGTGGAATCCTTTGACCAGTGGTTCCCAAACTGGGGGGCAACATGGAACTGCAACCAACCCACAAAAACAGGCACACATTGGTATGAAATATGTTCCATCACTGCCTCAGATGAAGCTTGGATTGTTACTTACCACAGATTAAAACATGTATACAACTGTATGTAACAATACACAAGCAGCCCATACCTCTACGAGTGGGTGCCAGTGTGCAATGGGTTTCCGTGGGTACGACAGCATCTCATTCCAGTGGTTTCGCCCTAGGGTCTCTGCCTCATTGCCCACCCTGCATACTCCAATCACTTCATTATGTCCAACCCTGCAGAAGAGGAAGAATAAGTAAATGTAGCTGCTGCTAAGTAGCCTTAGTTTATCATGTTTTTTTTTCATTATGATTGTTTTGAATAAAACTGACCAAAGAAATCCTCTAAATGTGTAAATGGTATTCTTTTTTCGTTGTGTCCTCGTGGAGGACCATGACTATTTTAATTATCCCTGCACATGGGTCTTTTGAGAGCACCAACTGCTGACACATACATTGTACTAAACTTTATTAAATATTTCTGTTTTCTGCAGTACAGCTCTGATCATTCAACCCCAGAAGACTTCAGCTCTCCCAACCAACAAACAAACAAACCACTAACTACAAAAAAGAAAAAACAGCTAATCCAAAAAGTCCAACAAACATGCAATAAAGGCATACATTTATATTTCATTTTTTAGTCCCTCATCCTTCCAAACTTTGTTTTCTATCATAGTTTACCACCTAAAACTGTCACTGTACGTAGTAGACGCGCTAACCGATCATAGTCCATAACCGCTATCAGCAGACTGATCTGGTCGATGTTCTCAGGAGGAACGTCAAACACAATGGCTTCATTGTACACAGGGTTCAGAGTGTTCCGCTTTGTTGACGTCTTCCTCTTCTTTAGCCTCCGGCCTTCACACATCAAGGACACTTTCACGTACGGATCTGGAGAGAGGAAACACATGGGGAGTTCATTGACGGCCCACATCTCAGCGGAAACGTTTCTTTGTCAGTCAGCACTCACCTGAAGCACCGGTGATGTCCATTGCTTTGAGATTCCTGGCTTTGATCAAGGTGATGGTGAGCCTGCCGGCCGTGGGGAGATAGCACAATGAGAACATCAGCTCTCCTAGGTCCACATTGTCCTGGAAAGAAAAGAGTACATTCAAATATTCATATTGATGCTCTCCTAGTATCAATAATATAAATACAGGAAGTGATGTCTTCTTTTATTGGTGACCTATAAGAAAGTATTTTTTGGGATGCTCCGGGACTTCATAGTTACAGCGTAGTTGGCCTTTAGAATAGGCTGAAACTGACTGCAGCAATGTGTTTATAAACATGTGCACAAGATACAAACAAATAATGAACTCCCTTGCAAAATTATTGCTCTGTAGTGCCTCTATTGGTCAAAAGGAGGCACGTTTTCTTCAACACATACTAGGATGTATTGCAGAAAACGTTACAGAAATGTATTTTTTTCAATTAAATCAATCTTGTTCACTTTCACAGGCAAAGTGTTGTGCTCTAGTAAAGAGTTAAACACACACACATTGGTTGTATGGATATTAACTGTGATGACAGTAAACAAGTCCCACCCACAAAGCCTGGTCAACGAAAAGGGGTCCGCAGTGCTGACATTGCTTTGAGGCCCAACTCAGCCGAGAGAAAGCTTCACATTTCCGGGCCAAACTAAATCTGGTGGCGGTGCATAGGGCATACTGGTTCAAACAGTATACCGGCATGAGATTTCCGTCCGGTATGAATTTCTCATGTTCATACCGGTGTAACGCAATAACAACTAACATTGCCCTTCGACAGGCAGCAGAATTTATTTTATCGCATCTGGAAACGCATAGCAGTCGGACCTACTTCTTTTACGTGTGTTGAGATTGAGTCATGGTTATAACTTTATAACAGCAATGAATAACCCACAACAAACACTCTTTAACAGAGCAAAACACCATGACACATAAACAACTTGTAACACTAATAATTGTACATTCATAAAAATGACCCCGCCAAACTGCATGCTCGGTACAGCTCACAACAAGAAGTAACACTGTTGCTACATGATACAGGAGGAACAACGAGAGACCAGAGACCAACACGACCTGTGCCCTGCAACCCTCGTTAACTTTACATTCAAGCTGAAAAAAAAATCAGTTTTTTCCCTTCCCTTCTGTCTAAAAATGACAGCTGATACCAAACAGACAGTCCCATTTAGAAAAAAATGGAACTACTCAGCTTGCAAGTAAGGAAATACTGTTAAGACATTGGGTTAAGCTTGAGAAAAAACACTTCGGGAGAGTCAATTAAATGCAAGTAGGTTCAGGTTCAGCAAGGATAAAGTAACGGTTCCGTCAAATTCCCAAACATCAATTGGTAGAATCGACAGAAGGCACATTATAATATTTTACACAAGTCTTTGCACCTCAGAAATGGATCATCCATGTAACAGCTCCAGTGGGAAAAAACAACATGAAATCCTTATTAATCACATCTGCAACATGCCGCAACAGCTTGACTCATTGTTAATCAGCATGTTTTTCTATCGAAGAAATGGAGTGACCTGATTGTTTAAAAGATATGCGCGCTGGTTTTGATTATTTGTTAAATCTCTTAAATCAGTATTTGAATAAAGTTGTGCTGTCTGCCATCAGGTTGAAATTCTCCTCTCTTTGTTTGAGAATATCCCTGCTTTCACAGTTTACCCAGTCACACACATGCCAAGCTCTGTTCCCAATTAACACATCTGAAAATAACGTGTGATGGTGTGAGAACGAGTGGTGAATCGATGAGACAAAGCCCAAACACAGCTTTTTACAGGGGAAACTCCAATCACTAGTTTTACGCCTTGTCCCACACATTGGGCTGACATAAAGCTCCCGGCTACAGAATCTTAAATAATTAGTGAAAGCAGCTCAAATTATTCTATTCTTTTGGAGGAGTCACTCCACTGTGTTTCCATAACCTATTCTCATCCATAACTCATCACACTCAAATGATTGGTCAGAACCCCTTGGCATCACTTAGGTTTATGGAACCAATAGGAAAAAAGAAGTACCGTATTTTCCGCACTATACGGCGCACCGGATTATGAGGTGCACCTTCAATGAATGACCTATTTTAGAAAATGTTTCATATATAGGGCGCACCGGATTATAAGGCGCATAGGATACTGCAGTCAAACGTTTGACGTCGATGCTGCGAGGTGCGTCCGCTCCCGCCGCCATCCACGCCTTAAATCTTCGGCTGCTCTCCAGCCACACCGCCTGCCAATGGCCCCTTTTAGAATAACTTATTTTCCCCGTTAAGATGGTTAAGCTACTGTAAAGAAAAGGGCACCGTCTCTCGCTCTTTAATCTCATGAAGTGCTCGGCAAGAACGACAGCTTTGTTTCTCCGACGCGCCCTGAAACAAGCTCCATATCTCACGCGCTTGAGCGCCCGCTCAGCATCTCAGCATCTCTGCATCGTTGATCCATATATAAGGCGCTCCGGATTATAAGGCGCACTGTCGTTTTTTGAGAAAATTAAAGGCTTTTAAGTGCGCCTTATAGTGCGGAAAATACGGTAAGTATGTTTTTGAGAAACCTGCTAAGACGTTCCTAAGCTATATTCTCTTACATGCGTTGCTCATAAAAAGGGGCTTAGTATGAAGTTGAATTGGGCTCTTGGGAAAATGAGAACCTGTGTTCATAAAACCTCCAAAAGGTTTGATCCATTTCTTCTGTGGTGAATATTGAACATCATTGGAAAACAGGACAGTACAACAAAGGACCCTGGGAACATAGATAACAGAAAAATAAGGAACCAAGGAACATAATACCACGGAATAGTTGGACACTTGGCAAATAATACCTTGGAAATACACAACCGAGTTGAACATAGGATCTAGGATCCTAGAATCTAGCATAGATTGTTGCAATTATAGGATCTTTGGAATATAAGAGCTTAGAATATTTGGACCCTGACAACATAGGGTAATGGGAACGTAGGATCTTGGGAAATTTAAGAATCATAGGTCATTGGAATTATGGAATCCTGGCATACCTTGGGAACATGGGACACTGAAAAATAGTGCTTGTGATATGGGACCATGACAATACGGTCTCATAAGACCTGAGAACACAGATACGTCCTCAGTTTTGCTTACTCAATCACTACAAGGTTTATGCAACTATTTGATGTCTTAAAGTATTCTGTGCAATCAGTGCTGAATACACAGGATGTTAGTGATTTCATACTGGGCCATTATTATATAGACTGCCCAGTAAAGGGTCAATTCAGCTTATAGAGAAATGATTGTATCGCTTAGACATCAATATTTGTTCTGATGCTGATTAAGATGAATTGGACAACGTTGTAAGGGAAGCCCCACACGCATACACACGCTCACACACTTTAGGATGCTTTTGTTCTGGGTCTTCTACTGAAAATCCAATTTGACAAAATGGGTTGATTCATCACGGATGTCAGCGTCGACAAGCCTGCAAGCACTGAAACAAACACGCATACACACACATACACACAGAAGCAGCGTTGTCCAGGATCATCACACAATTTACTGAGGCCTAATCCACCCCTGACACCGCATCACCATTGTTACCTCCCGGCTTGTGCTGTCTCTAAGGTGAAACAGGCATATGAATTTCTGACACAAACACAGGAACTCATAAAAACCTACAAACGCACACCAGCAGGCTCTTCCACAAAGTGGCAACAAACCCTTTAGCACATAATGTGATATCCTCCTCCCATCACACACGCTCATGCAGCACACTAGCTTCTGCTACTCCCCTGAGCACTCAAATCAAGTCTGCGGTCAGGATTATGGTCACTTGTGCTCGACCAATGGAATTAGAAAGGTGCTCGTAAGCGCTCCAATAAAGCACAGAGAGAGTGTGCACAGTCCATTTTCTCCATATATGATACTAGCACCTACTACCCTCAGGGGCAGTGAGGCTGCCTCTACAAGCCTCCCTCTCGCTGTGTCTTCAATGATCGCAGGCTCCGTGTAACTCAAACCCTCTTTGCTCTTTCTCCATTTTTTATTCTCAACTGAGGGTTTTATGTTTAAGGGAAGATTTGCATGTTGTAATTTGTAACCCCAAAAAAACGGATCCTCCTTTTGAAAGATATGGATGAATCTTATTGTAAGTCGCTTTGGATAAACGCTTCAGCTAAATGACATGTAATGTAATGAATCTATACTAGTTAGTAACGTTATGTTTAAAATGTCTCCAAGGCCAAGCTGAGATATCCCTGATGACATCACTACAGTGTCTTTGTATTCCATTATGTTTACAGTTAATGTACAAGACAATTTGCCTGCTCTGAATTCAATAGTATTGTGTATTCATCACTGAATCGATGCTCTTGATTTAATATTGATTCGATGAGACGCCAGCATACACTAACCTTTACAGTAGCTGTATAAGTTCCCTTGCCATGTTTATTCTGCACTCCTACAGCATGAGAGCAGCAATTAATCGAAGGCTCCTGTTAAAACGTCAGTCACTTAGTAACACAATGTCTAGAGGTATATCATCACCTTTTATTCTACACTGTAGAATACATGGTCATCGTTTTCGGGGAGGGAGAAAGAAACAACAGAGACAAGATAAAATAAAATTTGTGTCCGTGCGGTGAGAACAACATTTTTCGTCAATTTTAAGAAGAACGCCAGGTCGTTTAGTGAAGAACTTGGGAAGGCGAGGTGACTTCCTGTCGAATAGGATTCTCATTTGTGTCAAGAGGATTGAGAAAGCAATTAAGTTTTTGTGTTCATTCATTTATGTTAAAGTGTGATCTTCCCCTGAATCCAAATGATACACATGCAGGCATTGGGTAAATATTTAGATTAAGGGCCTCTGATAGGACTTTGAATATTGTATCCCAGTGATTTGTCAGTTTGGGGCAGGACCAGAACATGTGTGTAAGATCTACTGGTGAATTGTGACATCTATTGCAGCAATCCTTCATATTTCAGTGAAGTTTAAATACATTTTAGAAAGGAAATCATTTTGTCTCATATCCATAAACTGTATTTTTGGTATTTTATTGAATTTTAACATTGGCAGGAACTGATAATCAATATGTTGTACTTGCCCCCCCCCACCACCTGTTTTTTTCAACAATAC